TCTTTGTTTTTAGCAAACTATAGATACTACTTTTAAATAAGATTTAAACTACTTTTAAATACTCTCTAACTAACTTATTAATTTATATAAGTAATAGATGTAAATAAACTTATTAACAAAATTTAAAATATATTTAAATATATTTATAAAAAGCTTACATAGGCTTAAGCTTTTTAACAAGAGTACATAAACTAATTTTAAACTCTTACCCCTGCGTATGCAGCTAGCAAGAAGGTCTAGCTAGACACTAGAAATATTTAAATAAACTAATAATTAAAAAAACTTAATTAGAAGAACTGTAGCCTTTTTATAGTAGCTTATATAGTTTTATTATATGCTTACTAATTAATTCTACCTAACAGCATAAAGATACACCCTGTGTTCTACATATTATTGCTGCGCTAAGCAGCCTTTAAATTTAACTATCTACTTAAACAGCTAAACTTACTACTTAAACCTATTATTATAAATAATAAACTAGAATATGTTGTAAAAGATATTAAATAAATCTAGTTTAATAAAAAGAAATGTATTTATAAATACTTTATAAAATAAACTAGATACAACAAACTGTTATAGGAACCTATAGAAGCCTTATAAAAGAACTTTATAGTAACTTAATTCTACGCTTAATACTTATTTAAACTAAACTTGTACCCTAATAAAGACAACCTAATGCTAGAACTACTAATATAAAGGATTCTCTTCCTAATAAGGGGGGGGGTACTGTTACAGTATCCTCCCTAGATCCTAGACATAACTGTATTAGACGCGTACTAGAGTATTATTAGTGCACGTCTAACATAAACATAACATAACATAGACATAAACTTAAGCATAAACTGCTTTAACACTAACTAAACTTAGAATAGGCTTAATTTATACTTAAAGCGCTTAGACTTCTAAGCTAAGTATTTAATTACTAATTTCCTTTTAAACCTTCCTGTTCCTTACATAATGTCTTGTACCTACTATAATACCTCACGTAGTAATTAAACTAGACCTCTGTGACGCTCTATAACCTTACTCGTGCACAATCGTGACAGCGTGCTGCAGTTAAACGTTTTTGTTATGCGTCTATTACCTGTCTAATACTACTTTGCTAAGCATTATGCCGCAACTATTCTTTAACCTAAACAACCTACTTTAATACGCTAACTATTACTCTAAGCAAGCTTTGCTTTTATAGATTATTTATAAACTGTTGTAGTATTTTAAAGGCTAGATAATAATAAAGGGTAGGTAATTATTACGCATATATTTAAGCTATATGCATAAGAATTTTCCTCTTCGCTAGCAGGTGTAGCTAATATAGCTAATTCTTTACACGCTAAGCATAATCTAGGCTATGTTAGCATAAACTAGCCTAGTATGTTTATAAAGTGTTATTTAAAGCTTAAAGTAAAGTTTAAGTGTAAATATAACTATAAAAAAGCTTTATATAACAATCTTAAAGTAATTTACAGCTAGTTTAGCCTTATAGATAATATTAAAGCTAAGTATAGCATCTAAAATAATAACATATATAACTTTAATAAAATAAGCTTTATAATAGACTAGATATCTACTACAGCAGTTGTAATAGGTTTAGAGAGATAAGAATAGCTAAAAGCAGTCTAACTAGGTAACTAGAAATAGATAATAGCTATTTAAAGCATTAATGTTAAAAAGTAAGCTATTTTACTTTTTATTATTTTTTAGAATAGTAATTACTTTTTAAACTAGTATAAAAAATTTTACTTTAAAATTAAGTTAGTATAGTCTTTAAGTATAGCTAGACTACTAATAAGCTTAGTTTAGACTAGTTAAAGCACTTTAACGCGCATATAAAGAAGTGTACTATTAGTAGCTACTGTCTACTAGTTATTAACAGCTATAAGAGCTATAGCTTACTTTATTTCTAGTAATACTATAAAGATAATAAAATTATTACTATTTATATACTTTTTTACTTATTACACTTTTTGTAGCTACTTAATATAAGTTGTTTTACTCTTTTTAAAAAAGTGTATAAGCGCTAAGCTAAAAACTTTATACGCAACTAGATTACTTATATTATAAAAATAAAGGTTTTACTATGCGTTAAAGTAGCTTATAATACTATAATTACTTTTAGTAATATCTGTAACGATTCTCGTTCCATCTCGGGTCGCCCGGAACCCATCCGAAGGGCCCCTGTATCGGCTCCGACCCTGGCTCGACCCTGACTCGACCTGGCCCCGACTCTGCCCTGCCCCCTGCTGTTACCCCTATTCCCTCATGTATTTAGTCGCACCTCGCCCCTGTAGCTAGCTCAGTAGTTTTCTAATATCCTTTTGTACAAGGCCTTGTCAGATTGAAGCACTGTTTCTGGGCTTCCTGAGATGAATGATGGGTTTGGATATGATGTATGGGATGATGATTGATTGTATTGATTTATCGATCCTTTTTCTGCTCTACTCGTGTTGCTCGGCTTTTTGTTTTGCCGATCCGAGTCCCTCGCGCACTTGCCCTATGCGCGACCAGCTTGCAACATGCTGCAATTTGCTGCAACATGCAGCAATTTGCAGCAACATACTGTTCGAGCTTATTGCTCGTACCATGTAGCAGCTTTCGTCAAGCGTTCCTCCTGTCTTGACAGTAGGTGCGCATATCTGACAATAGCATTTAGAATAATAATATATATAACTTTAATAAAATAAGCTTTATAATAAACTAGATCTTTACTAGTTATACTTACACTTAAACTTTATTTTAAGCTTTAAATAATGTTTAATAAATATACTAAGTTAGGTTATACTAATATAGCTAAGATAATCTTTAGCGTGTAGAGAATTAGCTATATTAGCTATAGCTACTAGCTAAAGAAAAAATCCTTACACATCTACCTTAAGTATATGCTTAATAATTACTTACTTTTTATTATTACTTAGCTTTTATAAGTTAGCTATAAAATTAGCTGTTGCGTTTGCTAAAAGGTTAATCTTCTAGCTAGCACAGCAGAAGGATATATATAGGCGGATGTATGCAACACACCCCCTAGCTTGAACAGTGGAACTAGAGAGGTAAAACAACCTTAACACCCTCTCTCCTAGCCTAAGCAGCAGAACTTAGAGACAGATCTAAGTACAAGGTAGCCTCTGTAATAAGCGCACTACCTAAATGCTTTTTGCTAAGCGTAGGAATTAAACACACAGTGCTTAGGGATAATGTGTTTTAATTAGTAAGTAGAGGTGCAAAAATCTTTATGCGCCAACTATCTACACTCTGCTGTGAACTAGGCTTATAACTGTTGCGTTTTGTTAAAAGGTTAACCTCTCTGCTAGCACAGCAGAGGGATATATATAGGCGGATGTATGCGACATTAGCTTATAAAAGTTATTTAATCTATTAGTTATTTATTATTTTTTAAAAGACTTTATATATAGCTATAGTATCTTGCTTAAAAAGTATTATGTTTTATTTAAAAGCTTAAAGTGTAAGCTATATTATATATTTTTTTAACATGTTTAAGTAGTGTTATTAGAAATGCATTAGAAAGGAGTAGTTTAGTGTAGTCTTAGTAAAAGTAAGTAACTTATGTGTGTAAGCAACTTGCCTGTAGGGTACGTTAGTTTAAAAAATATAGTAAGTCTACTATAAGAACTATAATTTGTTTGCTTACAGGTTATAGAAACAATCTAAGGCAGCGCTACAACACCTAGACTTTAAAAGCGTTGAGAATTTACTAAATAAACCCTCTTGTAGCGATGATTTTAAAGGCGGCAAAACATTAGATAAAAAATAAGATGCCCTAGACAATGCCCGTCTGTATTAACATATTAGCAACCTGTTGCATGAAAATTCTAAAAACAATAACAATCCGATGACTACGCGAGCAGTGCTATCTACGCATAGTGGTCCTACTAAGATCTCCACAAGACTAGTCTTGTCTCCTATAATAGAAATAGTATGCTACTAACGAGAGCTACTGCTTGTCATGCTAACCGAGCGTTGAACTAGTCTAACAGTCTTATATCTTTTATTACTAAAGATGTTTATACTAAACTTCAAGGCAATTTAGCTACCAATTGAAGATAGAGCGGATGTTGCAGCATCTAGCACTAGTACGAATGTAATAGATGCGAATATATTAACGCTCTGTAACATTTGTAACCAAGCTCAAGTCCTGTAAGGGGGGCTTGACAACAAAATTAGCTGCCTTAAGGAAGAGCATGATAGGATAAATTGGAAGAATAGACTTTGACGGCTACAACAACTAGATAAGGAAGAAGATGAGATAAGGAGAAAATTAGAAGGGCTATAATATTCGAAAGATAGGTTATCTATATCCCCGGAGAAAGATAGTTGGTATTAATTAGTGCCATTGCGCCTTGTCTAAGATCATTACCGGCTTGGGTGCCTTGCATTTGTTTTCGAAGAAGGAATGCCTTTGGTTAGGTGGAGAGATACTAGTACTAGCATTCAGTATTGTGAGGAGATAAGATGGCAAGGTATACTTTTAAGCTACAAAGTATTAAAATTAAGCATCGAGATCTTTGAACAGCAAGTCCGTTGAGTCATTGCATCTGCAGGTGGGCAGCGGATCGGATCCGTGCACTCGGGAGCTAACTAAGTCGCGTATCCACTGCAACAGCCGTATAGTACGTTGCAATGCCGCCGTAGCCGTTGCAGCTTAACGCTTCTTGGCAAGTCCTTCGTCCGCGATACAAGAGGCTTGGAGTGTTGTGAACTGCATCAGACTGCTCCTGCTCATCTTTGCTTAGATGGGGCCGACCGACCAGCTAAGATAGTAAGGAGAACATGTACTTTATTGCAGGACAATTAAGGCTTAGATAGTTAAGCTATTATAGTAAATAATTAGCGCGTTGAACCCTAACCCCACCTACGTTAGCACATTTTTACGTGGTTTTCGCGAGATGAGATGAGCTTGCGCAAGATAGAGCAATTTGTTTCCGCCGTACAAACTCGGCTAGCGTTGCCGTGCATGCCGAAGTCGTTCGGAGAGGGAAGACAAAAAACTCGAATGTGCCAACTACCATGATGGCTATTGTGATTCTTGTTGAAACAATGCATCGCGTTTCTATATGGAATGCTCTGTAATGGAAACAAAATAATCTCTGATTCCTTCAATGGTCTTGTCCACTAAACCTTCCTCAATAGCGGCTTTTGGCCAAGCAAAGCCGATTGTCATACCTTCAGTATGCAGAACCACTGTCATTTGTAAACATGCTCCTAGAGCAAACGCACACCGACTGACCGTTGCTCTTCCGGCCTGCCAGACAAGTTTGTTACCCAGATTCGCGTCTGAATAAGGCACGTGAGGACCAATGTACGCTAATTCCAGAGACTCACTGCGAGGTCCACCAATCATCGGTTTCAAAAGAGCTTGGAGATCTGGTATATTCTTTAAGCCGGCAATGTTAAGATATGTTTCTCCAGAAGGTGCTGCACGCGAGAAATACTTTCTCGTATCTGATTGAACTTTGCGAGCTGCAGTCCAAATATCGCCTAGCTCAGAAGAGTCCTGCCCACAAAAATCTGAGCGGAATATTCTAGTTCTGAAGGCGTCGAAGAAGTTCCCCATCACGCCATCGACGGCTTTTGGAGGTAGATCAGTACGTATATCGACGGGAATATTGACGTCCATGGACTCTGTTGTGGGGGGAAGATTGCTGTATATCGTCTTGGTGATGAGAGCGTTGAGGCCAGCAGGTGTCGCAACCTTGTTTTTTTTGCATTCTTGTGTGAAGGCTTGAACCATTGGTGGCGAGAGAGTGAGTGTTGCGTATCCAGTCTTACTAGGCACTTCGGTGAGATTGCCCAGCCAATCATTGTATTTTGGCGCATCAGTCTGTGGCGCATCTTCAGGAATCAGCAGAGAATGTATTGACTCCAGCGGCGGACCGATCCCATCGTCGTCTTTGGATGATATGATGTATTCGACTTGGGACTTCATGGCGGAATGCGAAGAAGATAGAGTATGCAGAGCTTTGTGAAATGCTCGGTGTAGAATTTGAAAAGAAGCGCCATCGGCTATCGCATGATGGACCATGAAGTTAGTCGTGAATTGCTGTTCCTCTGCAAAGTCATAGAGGACGATCGATCGCCACACCGGCAAGATGCCCTGGTCAGATTTGAAGCTGGTGTTGACTTGTTGTTGCAACAGGGCATCAAGTTCTGCATCTCTGCCGTTGCCATCAGTAGGTATGGGTTTTTGCCGCTGAATAAACGAAGTGACTTTTCTAAGATCGATGGACGGTAGGCGCGCGAAGTAAGTTTCTGCGCCCTCGGCAACAATCGGAACAGCAAACAGTGTAGGAAGCTCACGAAGCATTTGAGCCAAGGCGTGATATATCAAGGGCTCGAGATCGGGGATCGATAGTGCCTGAGAAGCCTTGTAATGCACAGAGAAGCCTGCTGTTGTGTATAGATCCAGAGCATGTGCCACCGCCGCCATCTCCTCCAGCTTCCCTGAAACGATCCATTAGAGGCAAGTGTAAGAATATCATGTAGTGACATACCTGCTGCTCGTAGTTTCTTGAGCTGACTGATGTCCATGATGATATGGTGGAAGAGATCGTTCTCAGTCTAAAGGACTTGTCGTGAAGAGCCGCTTCCATTAAGCAGAATCACAGATTGAGAGAGTGGAGGGAAGCTTGAAAATTCGATGAGCGTGGGGAACGGCCTTGACGAATTCATGGCCACCATTTCGGCGAATGTGAGCAGCCCTATTTTGGTTCTCTTCCGCCTTCCTGAAGCGGTAGACATTGATAATAACGTAATAATTGACTCGAATGTCCTCACTTGCAGTAGTGTCAAGACAGCTTTCTTGGTATTTGCATGCAGGTGAGCTGTGTGAACGACAGCCACAATAGTTAGGGTGGTGAGTCACCTGCAGATGTCAAAGTTAGCGTGGTGGATGTCTTGGTAGTTAGAGAGCTTTCGTTCCCGTAACTTGTTTTCGCATCGCGAACGTGAACCACATTCTTGGCGGTTAATCTTCCGTCGTCACAGGGTTCAACGCCTTGCTCTTTCATGTCCAAATTTTTGGTATCGTCAGTCACCACTTCGATTCATTCCCGATCAAAAAACAATCTCCCGTCCACTGGACGTGATTATCCTCTTTGCGTTGAAGCGATCTTTCTCTCTAAAGCGTCAACATGGCACAGTATCCTTTCCCATTCAGCCAGGCTGCGAAGCTTGATTCAAGGATCATTCCTCGCCCAGCCTATGACCCTGAGCTCGTGAAGCTGCTTGATGCTACTACAATCCCCGAGGAGTTCGATCTTGACTTGATGCGTGGGGTCTCAAAAGACGAACATCAATGTCCACATGGTGAGACGGAGGAGACGGAATTCAGTGCGGATACGATTCTCAGAGACAAACCCTTTCTACTCCATGACGAGCATTCAATTCTTGGACCCGACAACACTACGGTCATCCTTTCCGTTTTTACGCCAAAGGAACCCTCGAGTACTCCACGGCCCGTTTTGTACCATATGCATGGAGGTGGACTTGTCAGTGGAGACAGGTTCACTGCGCTCACACCTATCATCGACCTTTTGGAGGGCATTGACTGTGTCGTGGTGTCTGTTGAGTATCGCTTGTCACCCGAGACTCCTCAACCAGGCCCTAGCGAAGATTGTTATGCCGGGCTTGTGTGGCTTTCTGATAATGCTAATAAGCTCGGGATCGATCCAGCCCAGATTGTGCTCTTCGGTGTCTCCGGTGGGGGTATAGTGGCCACAGCGGTGTGCCTCATGGCTCGAGACCGAAAGAATCCTTCCATCCCGATCAAAGGTCTGATGCTGTATGCACCTCAACTCGACGACCGGTGTGAAACACTGTCAGATCAGCAATACGAGTACGGTAATCCAACCAGCACACCATGGGTGCGTGCCTGTTGGGATCTTGTGCTTCCGAATATTCGTGGCACCGACAAAGTCACACCTTACCACGCACCAGCCCGCGCCGAAGACTATTCTAATCTCCCCCCGACCTACGTTGATGCTGGCGAGTGCGAGGTTTTACGCGATCAGGCAGTACAGTTTGCGACGAACATGTGGCGGTGTGGATCTACTTGCGAGTTGCACATCTGGCCTGGAGCATACCATATCTTCGAGATGATTAACAACCCCGACCACTTGCTCATTCAGTCAGCCAAGGCAGCGAAAGCCAATTGGTTCAAGAGAATGATGACGACCCGAAGCTGTTAGGATTTTGGTGCACAGGCGTACGGCTGAATCCAGATACGGATATCACATGTTGTGAAGATTTCGCGACGGCTATGAGGACGCCAACGTCTTACACATGTCTTGTACACGTCTGAGTATGTGAGGGTACTGTGCGAGATATGCGGGTCTTGAAGGAGGCTCCGAGGAGCACTCAGTTAGCCGCGGGCTTGGCAGACGTGTATATACGGACCAGTCATAGCTACTCTAGAAAATCAGACATCTCATGCTTTTCTATCTCAGCTCAGGGAGTCAGGGTTCAAAACAGAAGCGAGTAACCGTCAGCGTAAGAATTATTTAGGCAGTGGTGGTTAGCGATAAAGTAAGTTCAGTGTGATTAAAATAAACTTGATGTTCGCAATCCTATGATTATTTTCGCAATTATTCCTAAGCCCTTATGATATCCTTAGGAGTCTGTATTAGGTCAGGTTTGCCAAGAGTACAGCGGACAATTAAAAGGTAAAGTGACAAAAGTTAACTCAGAAAAATTTCCCGCACCTTTACACACCTTATATAACGTTAGTCTTAAATTAACCTGTAGAACACTTCTGTACTCTAATATATATTTAATTTTTTTTAAACTATACAATACTATTTTAGCATGTGTAGTTAGTATATAGACTTGTTTTAAAATGTAGTTATATACGATAGTAGGCAGTTGTTATAGTTATGTTACAGCTATCTAACCACCGAGTGCCCTAGACTTGGCACAGGGTATATAGGCTCCTCAGCTTCCATCCCTCTGCCTCCAACCCTAAGGTTTACTCTCTTCTGCTCTCTTTCTACTTCTATCCTGCATCCCCTCTCTGCGCTTTGTGCTTCCTACGTAATACCTCCTACATGATAAACCTTTTGTTGTGCATACATTTGTCTGCCTATATATACTAGAATCTAGTTAAGTTTAGCGCCTAGTTTAAGCGTATTAATAAAATACAATAGTTGTATAAAATCTATAATTAAAATCTTTATAATCTTACTAAAATAAATTTACAATAAACGTTAACGTACCTAACAGGTTGGCCGGCCACACAGGTTGGCCGGCTACTTTTGCCAAGCCCCTACTAAAACCACCCTATTCTCTCGCAAAACAGCCTACTTTAGCCCTGTATAAAGTAATACAACATAAGATATTATTTAGAGTCTACTTTTACTACTTACTTACATATACACAAGTTATGCCTAGTCTAATTGCACTGCCTATATTACCTTTAACTTAGCTTACTTTCTTTAGCGCGCACCTGCGTCTTTAGCTTCTTCCTATTACTACACGCTCTAAACTTCTTTAGAGTAGTTAGATAAGCTTTATTCTTAACTATTAAAGTTTTTTTTACCTAAATCTGCTTCCTTTTATGTAATCTATATTATGTAGTAGCCTTATTTACTGCTTAAAGCTTTATAATCTTATAGTCTACTTTATTACATTAATGCTTTAGATAACTGTTGTCTACTTTTTATTACTTTACTATATTACCTTTAGCTGTCCTTGTCTTTTTAAAGCTATAATAACTGCTCTAGTTAATATTTAGCCTATTATAAAGCCTAACTTATTAAAGTTATACTTGTCTTTATTCTAGATACTATACTTAGCTTTTATGTTAGCTACTAGGCAAAACTAGCCCTAGATAACCTTTAGATTCTTATAAAGCACTTTTTTTTAATTATACTTATAATTAAACTTTATTATAAACTTAGGGCAGTGCTTAACCTATATACTAGTCTAGTTTAAGCTAACCTAGCCTAGATTGCGCTCTACGCGCAAGAAATTAGCTATATTAGCTATAGCTATAAGCCTAAAGAGAAATCTGCGTGTAATAAGCTTAAGTATATACTTAACAACTACTTTTTTTTAAGCTTAGTTAGATTCCTTAATTTAGGCTAGTATTCTACTTGTAAAGGCTGTCTAGCGCGTTAATTGCTTAGTGTTGTGTAAAAGACATTATAAATAGCTATAGCGTGTTATAAGAAAAGTTTTAAGTCTTATTTAAAAGCCTAAAAAGTAAGCTGTATCTAACGTTCTTTAGAAGATTTAATCTAGTGTTGTTGTTAAGGCATTATGTAGATAGGTAGAGTTTAGTAGGGGCTTAGCAAAAGTAGCTAGCCAACCTGTGTAGCCAGCCAACCTGTTAGGTACGTTAGTAGTATATTAAAGTAATAATTAGTGCTAATAGAACTAGAGAAGTAACTGCTATTTAGCTAAATAAGTATTACTAAGTTATAGTAATTAAGTGTATTAACATATATAGTAAGATAATTTTACAGCTTATTATTCTACTAGGGAAGCTAATTTTATAATATAAATAATATATGTTACAGTTAAGAGACCGGGATGGCGCTTACGTGCGACGGGTATATATACTATTCTGTACGCAACAATTAACTGTTGGTTAATTATTCGCACCTTTTTAGTTGTATTAGCACAGTGGTACAAAGCTCTGTCCTACAGCAGTTTACTATAATGTACTATAGATTATTATATAACTTAATGCAACTTGCTGTATTTTACTATATATTACTACATTTTACAATAGTTTACTTACTTTTTCTAATGCTACTAGCTAATCTCTAGCTAAAAGCTAGACAATAGCCTCTAGCACTCTCTAACACTACTCTTACACTTTAATCTAAACAGGAGAATAGAAAATCTCTATTTAAAATTCTAAAAAAGAAACCTTTATATAAAAACTAAACACCTAACCTTTTTTAAATAGTAAAAGAATGCAATCTCAAAGAATTAAACTTGCGTTGCTTAGATAACATTCTAGCAACTCTATTTTAGCTTAGCTTTACGCTACTAGACTATGCGCTAATCTAAGAGGGTTTAGATGCTAGAATATTATATAGGTTTAGAATTACATGTATATACTTTTTTATATAATAGTCTAATAGCTAGATCCTATCTAGATTCTTAATCTAACTTGCTTTAATCACTTCTACAGCACTCTTTACAGCATCTGCATGACTAGATTAGGTATGTAACTAGTAGTCGAGCCTGCGCAGTCTCTGCAATCTCTTGTAGCACCCTCTACAACACCTGCAGCTCAACGCCTAGATGACGCTACAAGGCTACACTAAACTATATAATATTACATACTATTCTAAGCAATTATCAAGCAAAATCGAATTAAAATAATGTAGCGCGGTGGTGAAATGTAACTATAAGCGGATAGTAGCACAAGTACATTCAGGTGATTAGCAGTTCAGCCTACACAGTCTCTGCAATCTCTTATAGCTGTAACGATTCTCGTTCCATCTCAGGTCGCCCGGAACCTATCCGAAGGGTCCCCGTATCGGCCCCGACCCTGACTCGACCTGGCCCCGACTCTGCCCTGCTCCCTGCTGTTACCCCTATTCCCCTATGTATTTAGTCGCACCTCCCCCGTAGCTAGCTCAGTAGTTTTCTGATATCCTTCGTACAAGGCCTATAGGTGTCAATGGAATTCCCAGGTCATTGAGTCCCCACGCACTCCCATATGCCTCTGAGTGGATTCCTACCGCATTCGGACCCATTGTCTTGCCTGTGCCGTTACAATAGCACCCTCTGCAACGCCTGCAGCTCAACACCTAGATGTCGCTGCAAGGCTACACTAAACTATATAGTATTTCATGCTATTCTAAGCAATTATTAAGCAGAAACAGGTTAAAATAATGTAGCGTAGTAGTGAGATGTTGTTGCAAGCTAGTTAGAATAGGTTCTTGTAGGCAAATTAGTTAGTAGAGACTTTTTAGCTTAGCGTTTTCTTAGCTTAGTGCAGCGCTATCTTATACTAAACTTTATGTAAATTTTAATGTTAGTTAACGTTTAAAGAAAGTAATTCTTTTAATCTAAAGCATTTTCTTTTCTAGAATAATAGAGAAGCTAGTGTAGAGAATTGATTATAGATTTCACTTGTTAACACTTGTAAAATAAAAGTATATTTTTAAATAATATAGCCTTTAGGTTATAAAACTATAAGAATATTTTTTATTTTTATTTCTAACTTTATAAATAGTTTTTAAATATACTTTTTAGTAGTTTTTTAATATAAGTAAAACTTTTATAACATATCTTTTAAGCAAGTTAGCTACTCTAATAAAGCTTACTAAAAATATACAATTATTTATAATATATTATAGTGTTTTAGCAACAACATAAGATAGAACTTTATAAAGAAGTTAGATTATAACTTACCCTTTAAGCTATTAAATAAAATATAATACTTTTTTATAATATACTAACGTACTTCACAGGCGAGTTGCTCACACACCTGAGTTGCTTACTTTTGCTAAGACCCTACTAAACTACCCTTCCTACACTAATGCATTCCCCACAACACTACTTAGACGCGCTAAAAGAACGTTAGATACAGCTTACGCTTTAAGCTTTTAAATAAGACATAAAACTCTTAAAGAAATGTGCTATAGCTATGTGTAAAGTTCTATAAAAGATAATAAATAACTATAGCGCTAGATAACCTTTACAAGCTAATTCTACAGCTAAATTATAAAGGCTAGGCAATAAAAAAAAGCAGGTAATTATTAAGACTATACTTAAGCTATATGCGTAAGGAATTTCTCTTTAGATAGCATTTATAGCTAATATAGCTAATTCTTTGCGCGCTAAGCGTAATCTAGGCCATGTTTGCATGAACTAGCCTAGTACGTTTGTGAAGCGTTATTTAAAGCTTAAAGTAACATTTAAGTGTAAGTACAACTATAAGAGAGCTCTCTACAAGAGTCCTAGGGTAATTTAGGGCAGGTTTAGCCTTATAGAGAATATTAAAGCTAAGTATAGCATCTAGGATAATAACACGTACAACTTTAGCAAGATAGGGTTTATAATTAGCTA